AGAGGTGCCCGGCTAGGTGAGTCAGTGGAGCATGAGACTCGTGATCTTGGGACCCTGAGTTTAAGCCCGACTTGGGTGTAGAGATTACAAAAAAATAAATAACTAAACTTTTTGTGTTTTTTTGTTTGTTTGTTTTTTAAGATTTTATTTATTTATTCATGACAGACAGAGAGAGAGAGAGAAACAGAGAGAGAGAGAGAGGCAGAGGGAGAAGCAGACTCTCAGGGAGCAGGGAGCCAGATGCGGGACTCGATCCCAAGACCCTGGGATCATGACCTGAGCCGAAGGCAGACGCTTAACCATCTGAGCCACCCAGGCACCCTAAATAACTAAACTTAAAAACAAAAGAGCACAGAGTATAGTAAGATGTAGTAAAATAATTAGAAAGTAATAAGTTTTCAACATTTATACTTTTGTTTGTGAAATAGGCCTATTTAAATGAAAATTTTATAGAATTTAATTTTATGTTAACAATGTTAACATGTTTAACAATCTACGCACTAAATTCCCGGAAAATGTAAAAGTCGAATTCCATGATCTGGGGTGAGCTGGCTCCCGCTTACCAGAGGCTTCCTTCCACCTCCTAAATCCCAACCGCAGCCACCCACTGGAACCCAGCGTGCACAAGCACCATGAGAGAACAGAAGGTGGCGTATGTACCCTCAGCGCATTGCATGGGGCTGACATAATCCATGGCCCCAGACACAGCACCAAGACTTAGGAGTGCAGGTCAAGGTTTTCTCACATGACTTGCCCAAACCCTTTTGAGAAAAGAGCTACAGATTCTTTTTAACTCCATTTCTCCAAATACTTGTTCTTTATAGCCTTAGTCTACCTATCAGTTTCTCTGTGAATCCCTTTCATGTTGAAGTGAATAGAGATATCAAGGAATATATAAGGAATCCAGGGATCAAGGATTACATGTATAGAGCAAGAAATCAAGAGAATCTAAGAAAATGTCAGTGAAATTAGATGACATTTCATGATCCCACAGCATCAATCATGCAATAACTACTGTACCCAAAGAAATCAGTGCTTTGGTCCTCTTTCATCATAGCCCTTCTTAGGAGCTAGGACTCTTGCTGTATGATTCCCCTGGTCTTGATTCATTCCACATTTCCAACTCTCCAAGACAGAGATTGGATTGCGTTGGTTGTCCTCACCCAGAAAATATCACCCGTGTTAGGGCAGATTTCTCACAACCAGGCGCTTACTTCATGAACCACGAGCTCACAATATAGATCACGATTATCAACTTTGGCTAAATACTGGAATCATTTGGGAAGCTTTAAAAGTAATGATGCTGAGGTCCCACTTCTAGCCCCCTGATTTAATTGATCTGGGCTGTGACCCATATATTGGGGAATTTTTAAAGCTTCCCAGGTGCAGTCAAGTTCGGGGAACACTGCTATGGGAGCATGTATTCCACCCATGAGTCAACTGGTAACTCAGTGTTTTTATTCCAACAGTCACAGGACACCAATGAGAGTCATTTATCTGTTTATTTATTTATTTTTCAATTTATTTATTTTTACCAAATGACCCCAAATGTTTATTTGACTAAATTCTGTTTCATGCATAAGCGTGTCAGCCTCCCCTGTTTATTAGACTTTGGCAGTTAAAAAAAAGAAAAAAACAAGCAGCCTCATCCAGAAAAGTGCAAATACCAAGGGTGAGGGTAGCCTACAGTTTTACTGTAGGATAAATATACATTTTTTTTTTTTAAAGGCCTCTCTCCTTCTGGCCATATCAACACTCGGTTTTGACCATTAAATATAGACGAATTTTCCCAAAATCACTTCTTTGCTTCTCCAAGATCCTCAATGCCATCATCATCCACCTCTGTTCATTTTTCCTGAATGACCTCCAATATGTCAACTGTAAAATCTCCCTGAACGATGATTTCATCTTCTCCTGTTACTGAGGCACCATGGGAGAATTTTTGAGGAAAAAAAAAAACACAACTCTTTCCTTTTAAAAAAATTTTTTCTTTTGGATTTTATTTATTTATTTGAGAGAGAGAGAGAGAGACAGTGCATGAGCTGGGTGAGGGAGAGAGGGAGAGAGAGAATCTCAGGCGGACTCGGAGGTGAGTGTGGAGTCTGACACAGGGCTCCACCTCACAACCCTGAGATCATGACCTTAGCCAAAATCAAGAGTCAGATGCTCAACAGACTGAGCTACCTAGGTTTAATTGAAAGTTTATTTATTTATTTTTTAAAACAGATTTTATTTATTTATTTATTTATTTGAGAGAGAGAGAGAGTGCACGAGCCGGGAGGAAGGGGCCAAGGGACAGGGAGAAGCAGACTCCTCTGCTGATCAGGGAGGCTGATGCGGGGCTCAATCCCAGGACTCTGAGACCATGACCTGAGCTGAAGGCAGATACAACCGACTGAGCCATCCAGGGCCTCTAATTGAAAGTTTAAATGGCCCTTTTGGCTACAGCCATTGTTTGGGCAAAACAGCTCTAGCTTTTAATCACATCCTCTTCATTTTATTGTGTGAACTGATTTCTTTTTTTTTCTTTTAAGATTTTATTTTTAAGTAATCTCTACACCCAACATGGGGCTCAAACTCACGACTCCAAGATCAAGAGCCACATGCTCTTGAGCCAGTCAGGCACCCCTTGTTAACTGATTTCTAATATTTTCTTTTTTTTGACACTAAAGGGCCCCAGTCAGAAGTGAATCAGACCAGGAGTCTTCACAGACACAAGAATCAGGTAATTGGCTAATGTAGAGATTATGCAGGGGGTGTGTCAATGGGCTGATGGAAATGTCCTTTTGTTTAACATGGAGGAGAAGTTTTGAAGTCCTTTGTGATGTTGATGATCAAAAGCAATTTTTTTTATAAAGCTTTTTAAAAAAGATTTTATTTATTCCTTTGACACAGAGAGAGAGAACAGGAGAGGGAGGATCAGCTGGCAGAGGGAGAGGGAGAAGCAGACTCCCCACTGAGCAGGGAGTCTGATGTGGGGCTCGATCCCAGGACCGTGGGATCGTGATCTGAGCTGAAGGCAGACGCTTAACAGACTGAGCCACCCAGGTGCTCTCAAAGCAATTTTTCTTATCTCTAACCCCATCCTCCCTACAACTTAAATGGGAATACAAAGTACTTGCAATCTTGGATATTATGCCTGGAATGGATTCCATATTCCCAACCCTCTCTTGGTGATATTAAACACATTCTCTTTTTATTATCTGTGGAAGCTCTATGAGTGGATGGTGTAGACTCTATTGCAAAGACAATTAAAAGCAAACTCAGAGGTAAGAAATCTTCCAGGTAGGAGGGGAGCTGTGGCAGCACTGGATTGTGTTTGGGTTAATTAAAAGGAGCCTGTTTTCTTTTAACCTAATCCATGCTAGGACCTCGAAAAATAAGCAATGTGTGGTTAAGGGTCTTGATCTTTTGTGACATTTGTACTCTGATTACTTTGGGTTAGGAGACATTCCTGTTGTATTGAGTCTCCTAGGGCTGCCATAACAAAATACCCCAGACTAGGGCACTTCAACAATAGAAGTTAATTTTCTCATCGTTCTGGAGGCCGGAAGTCTCAGATCAAGATGCTGGCAGATCTGGTCCCTGGTGAAGCCTCTCTTCCTGGCTTGTAGATGGCCACCTTCTCCCTGGGTCCTCACATGGCTTTTCCTCTGTGTATCCAGAGAGAGAGACAGACAGACAGACAGACAGACAGAAAGATCTGTCCTCTCTTCCTCTTCATATAAGGACACCAGGACACCAGTCCTATTGGATTAAGAGTTCTTTCTTATGACTTCATTTCACCTTTAGGACTTTCTTATAGGCTCCATCTTCAAATTCAGCATGTACACCCCCCAATAATCACTGTGTTGCCTTGGAAAAATTTACCTGACTTGACTGTCTTCCATCTTGTCATTACATGCTCCACCTCTAAGTGCTCATGGTTGGAAACTGTCCCACTTGGTGTGAAGTAGTTTGAAAGCCACGTGAGGTTCAAGGAGAGCAGGTGTTGGTGTTGGCCGTATCCTGATGCTCAGCCCAGCTCCTGTGCTTACCAGCCACGTGGTGATGGGGTAAACTCATCTGTATTCACATAATGAATAGCTGACATTGTGTGCCATTTTCTTGAGGTACCACACAGCCAGGTACCAAGATTCAGAGCAGTTCTTTAAGGTGCAGGTAACATTAGTCTCTCCATCTTACACAGGAGAAAAAAAGCTCTGAGTGGTTAGGTAACTGTTTGAGAGCATTCATTTTTCCTATACAAATTCCCTGTTCTCTGCAAAATGAGATTCCATCATATGTAAATCTTGATAAACTAATTTTCCCAAAGCACAGTATATCAGAGACTTCTATCATCCAGGATACAGATATTTATTCTATGCAAATCATCCTTGCCCAGAGCCTGAATAGTGGGGGTAGAGTCCAGCAGCCCATGAGTGGAGGGTCTCCAGGTGGTGCTGGGCAGGCTCTCCCAGCGGGGTGATGGAAACACTCGGGGAACCAGGGGATGGTCTAGGGTACCTTGGGATGGATGGTGGCGAACACTAGGATGAACGGATGTGCCTTTGCCTCTTCAGCTTTCCTGCTTGTTCCTTTTATGGACTTGCCTTCCTTCTCCAGCATCAGGTATTAGCTGCTTCTTGGGACCATGTAGAAATTTAGTTGCTGTGGTTCCTGCCAGAGGCAATACCGCACCGCCGCCCCCCAAGCCATCCAGCCTGGCTTCCTTTTTAAATTTGGGGTGCAGTTTCAGTAGAGCAAAGAACATTCTTTTGCCTTTCTTTGTCTGGAGTCAAAGAACAAAGCCCCTTGTTTTCCCCACATACCCTTCTCTCTGATGTCTGGATTCCCAACGGGACATGTGTAATCCAACATCCAGGGCTCCTTCAGGTCATGCCATGTCTAACAGTCTGCATCTCACACATGCAATGTGTATTTTTCAGAAGAGATTTGCTTGGAAGAGAAGACACTAGTGCCCCTCCAGGCTCCTAAACTTTTTTCTGGGGTTGAACCAGCTTGTAAAAGTAATCAATTTCTAGGACCTGAAGGAAATGTGGATATTGAGTTGATTGATAAGAATGCAAACAGATACAGGTAAGAATCAACGACGCTGATTGTTTCAATATAATTCTCCTGTAAAGGAAGGATACGCTGTGTGATATTTACATGTATACACCTACATGATAGGGTATGTGATCCATCCCCTAAGACATCTGAAATTTTGTCAATATCCTCTGTATTCTACGCACTGAGTTGGTATGTTAATTTCAACACATGTAGAATACAGAGAAATTGGGGCTCAGAGAGTTTAATTAACTCCCTAGAGTTTTCTAATGTAGTGAAAGTCACAGATGGGTCTTGAACCTTGCTCCACCCCAAACTCCACATCCCTCTGCACTTTTTTTTTTTTTTAAAGATTTTATGTATTTATTTGACAGAGAGAGAGAGACACAGCAAGAGAGGGAATACAAGCTGGGGGAGTGGAGGAGGGAGAAGCAGGCTTCCCGCGGAGCAGGGAGCCCGATGTGGGGCTCGATCCCAGGACCCTGGGATCATGACCTGAGCCGAAGGCAGACGCTTAATGGTTGAGCCACCCGGGCGCCCCTTCCCTCTGCACTTTTGTTCTTTAAATCAAAGTCCTGGTTTTCTCTCAGCATGACTATCACTCTGGCTCCTTTCAGCGTCCACTTCCCCATGGCTGGCTTCTATCTATGGCCAGCGACACACCTTGGCTTCTTGGTAACAGCAGCGGTGACCGTGAGGATTGCATTCGATTCTTGGGGTCAGCATCTGGACCTGAAGTTACAGCACGAGGAGCAGTGGATGGTGGCAGGCCCTTTGTTTGAGGTCTCCGTGGAGCCCGAGGGGGTCATTACTGAAATCCACCTCCCCCACATCATCTCCCTCCCAGGTAAGGAGGGGAGAGGGGAGGCCATGGGGATGTCGGGGGAACACTGTCTGATTGCCTTTGTGGTTGTCCTACAGCAAATGAGGTCGATATCTCTTGGTTCCAAGTTGCCCATTTTAAGGATGAAGGGATGGTCCTAGAGCCGCCAGCCCGAGTGAAGCCTTTCTGTGCAGTCCTGGAAAACCCCAGCTTCTCTCTGATGGGGATCCTGCTGAGAATCGCCAGTGGGACCAGTGTTTCAGTCCCCATCACTTCCACGGTCCTGATCTATTATCACTTCCACCCTGAAGATTCTAAATTTCACTTGTACCTTATCCCCAGCGACTCCTTGCTAAGGAAGGTAAGGCTGGCAGATTTTGGAGAAGATATGAGAATTAAATTGTCAGCCTATCACCTTCAACATTCTGTTTCCATATTGAACAGAAAAGTCAAGGCACGGCTTTCATTGATAGAAGCATGAATCACCCGGGGCGCCTGGGTGGCTCAGTCGGTTAAGCGGCTGCCTTCGGCTCCGGTCGTGATCCTGGGGTCCTGGGATCAAGGCCCACGTCCGGCTCCCTGCTCAGCAGGGAGCCTGCTTCTCCCTCTCTATCTGCCTGCTACTCTGCCTACTTGTGTTCTCTCTCTCTCTGTCAAATAAATAAATAAAATACTTAAAAAAAAAAAAAAAGCATGAATCACCCTCCATGAGTTCAGTCTGTAGGTGCTGACTCTTGAGCCATATGCAAGGATCTGCAATAGGAATTCAGTTCTACTAAAAATGGAGCTGCCTTTTCTGGCTTTTAAGGAGGAGGAAAACAGAGGACGAGACTTATGGGGAATGGCAGGAGTAATGCAGAGATTTCATTGTAGATTTGAAATTAATAATATCTAGGGACGCCTGGGTGCTTGCTCTGAAACCCCCCATCTCCCAAACTCACTGATGGTCTTAGTGACTGTTCTCAGTCCTGTCACCAAATCCCACTTAAGGAGAGGATTCCTAAATCTGTATCCCTGTTCTGGACCCTCCAGAGCTCCAACTGTGAACTGCCCGACTGAATGCGCCCACTTGACTGCCCATCAGCATACCTACCTCATGTATTAACCTCCTTATCTTCCCCCAAACTGCCCTGCTCTTTCAACTCTCTTCTCCATGGAGGATATAAAACCAAGTTCCACTAAGTCATTTGATCCCAGATCTAGAGTTTATCTTCCATCTCTCGGTTTCGTTGCCTTTCTTCATCCAATGTACCCTCCATCTCCATGAGTTTTACTTTCGTAATAGTCTATGAAATCTTTTGGAGCTTGCAATCTACAGAGCAACAGACAGTAAATAAGTAAGGAGATGCTCAAGTCCAGCTCTCTTTGCTTTTAGAGTTTACTTTCATGATGTGACTCGAACCAGTTTCATTTCCTCTTTGCCACTGCCAGTGATGGACCCATCCTCCGCTGACTTCTGCTGGAAATATGACTCAGGCCTTCAGACTTCTCCCACCAGTTTCATTATTGTACATGTAGCTTCTCCTTTTTATCTGGCGACAGGGAGATCTTTTACAAACATAAATAATCACACCTCTTCTTGGCCAAGACTCTTCCATGAATCCTTATTACACTTGGGACATAAACCAAGTCATCTCCTTTGGCCATGGCAGCATTTGGCTCTAGTACCATCATTGCACCCTCTTCTTTCCCTCCATTGGCCTCATAAATCTCTTTATTTGCTTATTGTCTGTATTTTTGTTGATTGTAAACTCTGTACGTGGGAGGGACCACTTCCTCTTAATCACAAGTTAGTTAAAAGCACAGTATAAGGCCTGTTGTAGTCACACATGAAATGTTGTTGACAGAAGGAATGAAATGTGGTCTGTCTTCCTCTCTTGGGAGGGGAAGAAGAGTGGAGAAACCTTTTCTTCACTTGAAAACACAAGTTACACTCAAAATATCGCTTGTTGCCCTGAGAATTTTCCCTGCTTATGTGGTGAGCTGCACAATGCAATATGGTAGCCAGTTGCTATGCCTGGCTGTTGAGTCCTTCAGGTTAGAGGTGTAATAATTTTTTTTTTAAAATAAACAAATATTTTGGGGCACCTGCGTGGCTCAGTCAGTTAAGCGTCTGCCTTCAGCTCAGGTCATGATCTCAGGGTCCTGGGATCGAGCCCCGCATCAGGCTTCCTGCTCAGCAGGGAGCCTGCTTCTCCCTCTCCCTCTGCCTGCCGCTCTGCCTACTTGTGATTCCACTCTCTCGCTCTGTGTCAAATAAATAAATAAAATCTTTAAAAAAAATAAAAAAAATAACAGATTTTGAAGATATAATGTAATGAAAGTATATACATGTTAAGTATATTGATTACATATTTAAAGGATAATATGTGGGGTAATATGAAATACTTCATAAATATATTAGTAATAGTACTTTCATCTGCTTCTTTTTGCTTTTTTTTTTTTAAAATGCGGCCACTAGAAAATTTGAAATTATACTTGGGGCTTGCGTTATATTTCTACTGAACAGTGCAGCTCCATGGAAATCCATTGATCCAATCAAAAATATTTATTCTGTGCTTTACCTATTCCAAGCACTATTTTAGTGGCTGGGGATGCATCAGTGGACAAAACAGACAAAAGCAGGACTACCAAAGGTTGTTTGGAAGATGGAAATGCTTGTGGTACAAGAAAAATATATGTGATATGACACGTGCGATAAAAAATAAGAAAGGGAAAGGGAATCAGTTTGAATCCATAAGACAAGCTAAGTACAGGAGTCTGTCCCACTATCTGCAGAAATCTGCTCTCAGTGATAACCTATCATTGTTATACTGATGTATTCGGTTGTTTAAGTTCCAATCTCTTATTATTATAATTTCAGTTAAATATATCTCCTCATTTAAAATAATTTTTTAAAGATTTTTTTATTTTTTATTTTTTTATTATTTTTTAAGGATTTTATTTATTTATTTGACAGAGAGAGACACAGCGAGAGAGGGAACACAAGCAGGGGGAGTTGGGGAGGGAGAAGCAGACTCCCCGCCGAGCAGAGAGCCCGATGCGGGACTCGATCCCAGGACTCCAGGATCATGACCCGAGCCGAAGGCAGTCGCCTAACCAACTGAGCCACCCAGGCACCCTTGTCCCCAGATTTGAGGCACACTCAGACAATCCCTGCCACATTATACGAAGAAAAATCATACTATACAGAGATTTGTGATAAAAAGAAATGCCTTGGGGAATGCCCGGGTGGCTCAGTTGGTTAGGCGTGTGACCTTTGATGTCGGCTCAGGTCATGATCTCAGGGTCTTGAGATGGAGTCCAGAGTTGGGCTCTCTGCTGAGTGTGGAGCCTGCTTAAGATTCTCTTTGAGTCTCCCTCTGCCCCTCCCTCATCTCTCCACCTCTAAGAAGAAAAAAAAAAAGAAAAAGAAAGAAATCCCTAGCTCTGAGATAACCACCAGTAAAATTTTATCAATACATCCCTCTGTGGGGCGCCTGGCTGGCTCAGTCGGAGGAGCATGCAACTGTGGACCTCAGGATTGTGAGTTTGAGCCCCACATTGGGTATAAAGATTACTTAAAAATAAAATATAAAGAAAATACATCCCCTCACGTCCAGAGGCCTATTGATATATATACACACATATATATATATGTGTGTATATATATATATATTTTTTTTTTTTGCTTATTTACTTTTAGCTGTGCATCCTGATTTGCTTCTTTTCTTTTTCCTCAGGCAATAGATGATGAAGAAGCTAAGTTTCATGGTGTGCGTCTGCAGACCTCACCCCCAGTGGATCCCCTGAAGTTTGGTTCCCGTTACATTGTGTCCAGTTCACCTCACCTGGAAATAATGCCCGAGGTCAGTAGAATTTGAATCTGCTCAAATTTAACTCGGGTTTCAAAATATTTTGTATACATGAAAAAAAATGGAAGACCAGTGGAAGGTCAGTAGCTCAGGTGATTATTCTCTGAACCATATCCTGCTAAGAGCTGGGCTATCTTTCCTTCCATGGAATAATACTATTTCCTAAAATTGTAAACTTAAAAGATTGTTGACCATTCTACCTCTGTTTTTCCCTCATCCAGCCATGAGACTATATAGGAAATGGAGTATATTTCAGTGGCCAGTTCACTGCAGGCAAACAGGTCTTTTCACCCCACTCCCAACCTCCTGATACTTTATGGTATGTTTCCTCTAGGAGTTGAAATTATCCTACAGGAGTCCTGGAGAAATCCAGGTATTCGCTAAAGTCTATGCTGGGAAGATGGAGGAACCAATTGTACTTGAAGTTACTGACAAAAGACACAAGACTTTGGTCTGGCGCACTTTGGTGAAGCCAGGTAGGTAAAAATATGAGGCTAAAGTTTGGGGAGGAAGAAAAAAATCACGTACCTCTCCCCTTGGTTGTAGTGAAGTGTATCAGAGGAGAAGGTCTGTTTATGGTCCCATCCCAGAGAAGAAAACAAATCTACTGCCAGTTTATAGTCAATGCTGAGTTGAAGCAAAAGCGCTGGCAGTGGTCATGTGTGCCTGGGGTAGGGATGGCTCTTGGTGTGCAGAACTGGAACCTCTCATACCTAGGTGGTAGTGAACAGGAGATGCTAATTATAAGAATCAGAAGAAGCAGAAAGTCAATTTAATTCTATCTTCTGCGCAATTTTATAGTTGTTGCCATACAAAGGGACTAAACAGTTGCTGAAGGAAGAAAGACACAAAATTTATCAGAAATTTAAACAATAGCAGGGCTTTTACAAAGAAAATGTAAGACCATGTGGAAGTCTTAATGGTAGACACACTTTAGTGATTTTTCCAAATGGTTGCTCCAATTGGCAAATCTCCCACCAACTTATAAGAATGTCCAACTTAAAAGTTCTGCACTATCAACAATCCCAGTATTATAGGGTTTAAAGAATATCATCACTTATTGTTCAAATGTACTCACTTCATCATGGTATTTCGTGTTTAAAATACATTTGCCTAGAAGATAATTTATGTAGAACAGTGTGATAATTTTACCATAGCTTTCACATTTCTTCACATTTTGGCTTATAAATAGAAAGAATATTGGAAAAATGTGTTCCTTCCTCTGAGCGACCTTCTACTTAATTGGGTTCCATTAGTATATCAATGTTCCAATGGGATCCTTAACTTAGGAAATGGAATTAAATTATTTTAGTGCATTACATCAAAGACTAGAGAAACTATAGGGGCACCTGGCTGGCTCAGTCAGAAGAGCCAGCAACTCTTGATCTCAGGGTTGTGAATTCAAGCCTCATGTTGGGTGTAGAGATTACAAAAAAATAAAAAAAAATAAAAACAACAACAAAAAACCCAAAAAACCTTAAAAAACTTTAAAAAAAGGAAAAACTAAATAAAGGTAAATGGCTCATTTCATTCTCCAACTTTTCCTTTCTTCCTAGTGGACCTCAAGTTTCATGCTGCATTGGTCCCTCCTCCTTTCTCAGGTTAGTGCAGTGTTGTGTTTTGTTTTAAAGATTTTATTTATTTATTTGACAGAGAGAGACACAGCGAGAGAGGGAACACAAGCAGGGGGAGTGGGAGAGGGAGAAGCAGGCTTCCCGCTGAGCAGAGAGCCCCATGCGGGACTCGATCCCAGGACCCCGAAGGCAGACGCTTAATGACTGAGCTACCCAGGTGCCGCAAGGGCAGTGTTTACACCAAAAGTCAAGGGATGTGTCTGATTTCAGGAGGTCTTTGAGTGGTGTGATGTGTCTCAATAAGGGATCATACCTTCTCTTCATTTACAAAAACTGAGTGGTGTCAGAGACAAAGACAGAACATGATCCACTTCAGTGAATTCATGAGAGGGTATAATATGCAGACCCTGAACATGCAGCCACATCTTATTGGGGAAAATGTCTTGCATCTGGTGAACTATAAGTGCAAGTGCATCGATATGGCTGGAGATGAAAATTTAGACGGACAGAGGCCACATGAGACCAGAGGCAGGCAAGAAACAGAAGTTGAAAGCATAAGGATGATGGTTGAACTTCTTCTGGACCTTAGGCTGAAGGCAAAGGGGGACTTTGGAAGGGTGGGTAGTAATGCAGTCACTGTTCTGAACAGTGTGGATGACTATGGGTGAGGGAATGGACAGGAAGTGGGAACCGGCTTATGAGGCTGTTGTAAAAATCAAGAACAGGGATTAGCTGGGAATTGGTTAAGGTTACTGGAGTTGGTAGGTAGCAGAGAAAGAAATTATTCAAAGTAAGGAGTCAAAGGGGACCTGGCTGGCTCAGTCAGAAGAACATGTGGCTCTTGGTCTTGGTGTTGTGAGTTCAAGTCCCACCTTGGGAGTAGAGTATTACTAAAGAAAATAATAATAAAAAATTTTTTTTAATAAAATAAAATATGGACCCAAGATTCAGAGGACTCCATTCTGCCTTCCGTATTGTTGGCTTTGATTGTCAGCCTCCACACAGTAAAAGTGTCAGGCCTCCTATCCCAAAACAGATCATCCAGGAGGAGAAAGAGAGCATCTCCTGATCCCTCTCATTGAAGAGAAGGCACCTCAGGTGTCACATTGGCTTGAAATGGGCGACAGATCCATTTCCTGGCCGGCTGGTGTGATTGTCAGGAGGTCCAGAGAGGCAGCTAACTAAAGAAAAATCAAGTTGCAATTGGGTTCAAACCCAACCAAACATCTTGGTTAAGGATGAGGTAAAGATGATTTCACAAAGGAAACGGAAAGGATTTTTATGTAGGTGGTGAGGATGTAGCACCAAGAAAAGGTCTCTACCCTTCCTAGTCCACAAGCTCTTGAGCAAGAGGTATCTGCTGCCACCTGTTGTCAGAAGGATACAACTGAACCTCATTTGCTAAGACCCTTCAGAAGCTGCTGCCAGCCCACATCTTGAGTCAAATCTTCATTCTGGCCAGCCGGCACTGTGAAGCATGACATCCCTTTCCCCCTCTTTCCCTTTTGGCCTGGTGGCATCTTGTATTTAATACCAGCATCCTGGGGCGCCTGGGTGGCTCAGTTGATTAAGCGTCTGCCTTCGGCTCCGATCATGATCCCAAGGTCCTGGGATCGAGCCCCGCATCAGGCTCCTTGCTCCGTGGGGAGCCTGCCTCTCCCTCTGCCGCTCCCTCTGCTGTGTTCTCTCTCTCTCTCTCCGACAAATAAATAAATAAGTAAAATCTAAAAAAAATAATACCAGCATCCTAATCCTTCAATTCCTCCTCTTCTGTGAAGACTTTGCTTTAAAGTCTTGTCATCCCCTCCTTTCTGACCAAAGGCTATGGTTGCATTTTCCTCTTATGGAATTATGGTGATAAAAATGATCATGATGGGGGCGCTTGGGTGGCTCAGTCATTAAACATCTGCCTTCAGCTCAGGTCATGATCTCAGGGTCCTGGGATCGAGCCCCGCATCGGGCTCCCTGCTGTGCAGGAAGCCTGCTTCTCCCTCTCCCACCCCCCACCCCCTGCTTGTGTTCCCTCTCTCGCTGTCTCTCTCTGTCAAATAAATAAAATCTAAAAAAAAAAAAGATCATGATGACAAATGCAGCTTATTGAATGCCTATAGCATACTAAATATTCAGGGTATGTATATTTGTGTTTTATATCTACCACTCTTTTTTTTTTTTAAAGATTTCATTTATTTATTTGAGAGAGCAAGAATGAGAGAGAGAGAGAGAGAGCACATGAGAGGGGGGAGGGCCAGAGGGAGAAGCAGACTCCCCGCTGAGCAGGGAACCCGATGTGGGACTCGATCCCGGGACTCCAGGATCATGACCTGAGCCGAAGGCAGTCGCTCAACCAGCTGAGCCATCCAGGCGCCCTATATCTACCACTTTTGTCTAGTCCTGTCAGTACACTTTGGCTGGCTTCCCCAGAGAATCATGGAGGAGTGTCAGAGTAAACATGGCAATGGCCATGAAGTAGCAACCCTGTACGGAGTGTAGCCAGAGACAGACACATACCCTGCACTCATGGGGTTTCTATTCCAGCAGGTGAAAACAACAAAGCTGATTTCACAGTGCTTATCAAAATACAGTTGTGGTATGTCTTCCAGAGGAAAATTAGAGGGATTTAGGAGAGGATAAGATGGGGGGCTCAGATCTAACATTGAGGGAGTTGAAAAGTTTCAGAGTGCATCCTGGAGGGAGGAAAAAAGTGAAGTTTACGTCCAGTTAGGAAGACTGAACAGAAGTTGCTAAACAAATGGGCGGGGTGAAATCAAGGGAGGCCGCAAGAACAGGTTAAACTGAGAATATTTCTGTGACAGCAACTTCATTCATTCAAATTGAGGAGTCACTGAACGTAGTCTTCCAATGACTTTTCAATAGAAACACCAAGACTTCACAGAAATTCCATCATTAAATTAAGCTGTTTGGTTACAGTTGTGATGACTGGACATTAATGATCTGAGCCACTGTGTTTAGAACAGAAGTTCTAGAGGCGTGAGTTGTACATGGAAAGCAATTGCCTTTTTGGGTGCCTGGGTGGCTGAGTCGATTAAGCAACCAACTCTTGATTTCGGCTCAGGTCATGATCTCAGGGTTGTGAGATCAAGCCCCGTGCCCGGCTCCACGCTGGGTGTGGAACCTGCTTAAGACGTTCTCTCTCTCTCTTCCTCTGCCCTTCTCTCCCTACTGGTTCTCTCTCTCTCAAAAAAACAAAACAAAAGGCAATCATGCCTTTAATGAAGAAACTGAGGAACACAAAAGCAATATGTTTTAGCCAAGGTCATACAGGTATTATCTATGGGCACCAGCATGAACCCTGAGTCAGCATGATGCAAAATACTGTCTCTCCAGGACTCCCAGTCCCTTCTGTGTTGTACGTAACCAGTTAAATCTCCTTCTACACAGTTTATCAGAAGACCCTTAAGGGTGGGGAGCTAGTCTAGTCCACCTGCACCTCTGGTATCATGCATACCAATATATGAACTTGAAAATTGTTAGAAGGATGAATAGATGAATGTACAGAAAGATAGAGTCCTCTCTAGGTTCCAAAGAAAACCAGAAAGTGAAGAAGGAGAGGCGCTCAAAGCTTGGAGGGGAGGGAATGGGATTGAAGAAGAGGGATCATTGAATCTCCCTAAATTCATACACCCCTGAGAATGGACTGGAAATCCTGAGGATGTGTGTGTAAGATCTGGGCAACATGCAAAAGACAATGAGCAATATCTCCACATAGAATTCTGTCTCTAAGGGGCACCTGGGTGGCTCAGTCAGTTAAGTGTGTGACTCTTGATCTCAGTTCAGCTCTTAACTCAGGGTCATTAGTTCAAGCCCCATTTTGGGCTCCATGCTGGGCCTGGAGCCTACTCAAAAAAAAAAAAAAAAAAAAAAAGAAATGTCTTTAAGCTGGGCATAGTTCCCGAACCCCATAAGTAAGCTATCCCTTCCTGAGTCTGCAGCTCTTTCTTCTGCCAAGTCGTGGCCTTTATGAAGGAGTACCGCCGGCAGCTGCAAGCCAGGCTGGGGGACCTGAATGGAGTACTGGATGATCTTCAGGACAGTGAGGTCTTCACTGAGGAAGAGAAGGAGCTGGTGCAGCAGTTGCCAACACAGCAGAGGAAGAATGAAACCTTGCTGAGGATGGTGGAGAAGAAAGGGCCCCAGGCCCTGGAGATACTCTTCAGGAGCCTTAATCAAAGAGATCCTTACCTGATGTCCTACCTCAGCCAGCAGAGTTTACAATGACTCAGGCTGATACTCAGGTAGAGAGAATCCAGTGTTCTCCATTGAAAATGGATAAATGGGTGCTTGGGTGGCTCAGTAGCTTAAGCATCTGACTCTTGATTTCAACTCAGCTTGTGATCTCAGGGTCATGATGAGATTGAGCCCCGCATTTGGCTCTACAGTAAGCAGGGAGTCAGCTTGAGATCTTCTCCCTCTGGCCCTCCTCCCACTCTCTCACTCTCTCTCTCAAACAAGTAAATGAAATAAATCTTTTTTTTTTTTTTTTAAAGAAGGAAAATGGATAAGCAGACGTGTGATCATTGAGTTCAGTGTCCAAGACAAAAAAGGTCCAGGTAACACCTACCCACCACACAGGTTTCATTGAGGACTGATGATAACTTGGCAGATACCTATTACTGTATCCTAATACCTTAACCTCAAGAATATCTGAAGAGAGTAGGAATATTCACACTAAATGTTTTTTAAGCCAGGTTAAAAAAAATTCCTATTTCATCCATTGACACATTTCTTGGAAATCTGGGCAGAGGAAGGCAAGGGCAGGTGCGTTTATGATTGACAGGGCCCAGGGAGACCAGTTCTCCTGAGTCACATGAGAAGCAATTCCAGTGAACATTACATCCGCTGTGTCACTTGCTCAGAACAGAAGCCAGGAAAGCTTACAAAAACTCTCTGTTGAGGACATTCATGACATTCACAAGCTTTAATTTTTTTTTTTAATATGCTATGTCTTTAACATTTTATCTATTGCTATTTATACTAGAATGATGAAGTCCCTTGACGGAATAGTGCTCAGGAGTGGAAGCAAATGCAAACGTTGGCAGAAAACCTTTTGCCTCTGGTATATAGGCTGGTACCAGGAATGGGCACATCCAACTTCATGGAACAGCTCCATGGAACCCAGGGGAGGAATATGGATTAATGGTATCCACAGAAGCAGCAAGGGGGGGAAAGGAGGAGCATCCAGCTTATTCTGAGAGAGGCCCTCCTGGCTAGGTATGTCACGAAAATAAGCAGAGCCTGACATTTGGGTTCTGCCATTGAACCCTGCCATTTTATATCCATCCCAGCTTATTTTGGACCAGTGTTTGCATGACATAACTAATGCCACCCTTTCACTTTGAACCCAGTTATTTCCTTATATTTGAAGCGAGTTCGTGGGAGACAGCAGATAGTTGGGTCAGTTTGTTTTTGTTTTTTTAACCCATTTTGACAATCTCTGCTTTTTAAATGGTGTGTTCAGCCATTTATATTTAACATAATTCTGGCAATGTTAAGATTTAGCCTAGGTCTGCCATTTTAGTATTTTTCTGTTTATTCCCTTTGTGCTGCATGCCCTATCTTTCCTTTCTTGGCTTTTTTAGGGCTTATGGGAAGAGTTTTTAGTATTCCACCTCAATTTGTCTATTGTTTTTGACAATTGTGGTTGTATATTTTTTAGTGATTGCGCTATAGATGAAAAGATACATCCTGAATGCATCAGTCCTACATCACAGTATCCATACTGTGCTAATTACAGTGGAGTCTAGAAACCTTAGCACCATTTTGGCCATGGTACCTTTTATGGCCCAGTTGTTTTCAATATTCCCTCTCTATATAATAAGGTCCCAATCAGAAGAATGTTATATATGTTTTTCTACTTTCTATTTATTTATTTATTTATTTTAGGGAGAGATACGGAGAGACCATGAGTAGGAGGAGGGGCAGAGGGACAGAGAAAGAGAGAGAGAGAGTCTCAGGCAGACTCTGTGCTGAACACAGAACCTGAGGCAGGTCTCCATCTCTCGACTCTCAATTCATGACCTGAGCTGAAATCAAGAGTCAGATGCTTAATCGACTGAGCCAAATGATGCCCCTGTTTTTTACTTTCAATTGCTGAGTATTTTTTTTTTTTTTAAGAATAGATTTTTAAAAAATTTTTATTTATTTATTTGAGAGAGCGAGAATGAGAGAGAGAGAGCACATGAGAGGGGGGAGGGTCAGAGGGAGAAGCAGACTCCCCGCTGAGCAGGGAGCCCGATGCGGGACTCGATCCGGGGACTCCAGGATCATGACCTGGAGCCGAAGGCAGTTGCTTAACCAACTGAACCACCCAGGCGCCCTGAGTATGTTTTTAAAATGAGGAGTATAATCTATGACATATGCCCAGATATTTACCATTTATGTTGTACTTCTCTTGTAATCCTGATATTCTAAATTTCATTGAACTTCTTTTGGCAATTCTTTTTTTTTTTTTTAAGCTTATTTTTTTAGTGATCTCTACCCCCAACATGGGGTTCAAACTCATGACCCTGAAGTCAAGACTTGCAGACTCTACAGACTGAGCCAACCAGGCACCCCAGCAATTCTTTTAAAGCAGATCTCCTGACTATGGATTCACTTAATTTCCCTTCATCTAGAGATGTCTTTATATTACTTTCATTCCTGAAAGATATTTTTGTTGGGCATAATGGCAGTTCTTTTTTTCAGCCATTTGTTTCTGGTTTTCATGGTTCCTAATGAGAAATCTGCAGTCATTCAGATTGCTTCCCTATATAGAATGTATCATTTTTCTCTGGCTATTTTCTTTTTCTTTTTTTAAAAGACTTTATTTATTTATTTGAGAGAGATAGGCAGATAGTGACAGAGCAAGCAAGAGAGAGCACAAATGGGGAGGAGAGGGAGAAGCAGACTCCCCACTTAGCAGGGAGCCTGACACGGGGCTCGATCCCAGGACCCTGGGATCATGACCTGCACCGAAGGCAGACGCTTAACCGATTGAGCCACCTGGGTGCCCCTCTCTGGCTATTTTCAAGATTTGTTTTCTTTGTCTTTAGTTTTCAGCAATTAGATTATGATAGATCTGGGTATGGATTTCTTTGGGTTTTTCCTATTTGGAATTCACTCAATTTTTAAATTTGTAGGTTTATGTTTTTTCACCAAGCTTGAAAATTTACAAATATTATTTCTTTAAAGATATATATTAAATATATATGTGTGTGTGTGTGTGTGTGTACATATATACGTATCTAGTTATATATCTATATCTACATCTATGTCATCTATCTATCTATCTATCTTTTTTAAAGTAGGCTCCATGCCCACTGTGGAACCCAGCATGGGTCTTGGCTTGAACTCATGACCCTGAGATCAAGACCTGAGCCAAAATCAAGAGTCAGATGCTTAACATACTGAGCTACTCAGGCACTCCTTAATATATTTTTTTCAACCCTGCATTTCTTTCTCCTCTCCTTCTGGGACACTGATGGTATGAATGTTAGATTTTTGTTGTTGTCCCATAGTTCTCTGAGACTTAATTGTTTTCCTATCATTTCCTCTCCTTGTTGTTTTGATTGCATAGCACTTACTGATTTATTTTTCTTAAAGATTTCATTTATCCACTTATTTATTTAGAGAGAGAAAGAGAGCAAGCACAAGCAGGGGGAGGGGTAGAGGGAGAAGGAAAGAGAGAATCTCAAGCAGACTCCATGCTGAGTATGGAGCCCGACACAGGACTGAATCCCAGGACCCTGAGATCATGACTTGAGTCAAAATCAAGAGTCAGACGCTTAACCAACTGAGCCACCTAGGTGCTCCTTTCTTTTGCTAGTAATTTTCTTGCCCTGGGCTCCTTCTGCCCATGAAACCTTCCATTTTTGTACCACACCCCTGAGTCCCTGTCTCTTTACAAGAAGGGTTGCTGCCTGATTCATGAATCATTGAATAAAACCAATTAGTTGAATTTTTGTTCTTGAAGGAGGTTGCTTACATGTCTTGGTTACTGTGAATAATGTGTCAATGAACGTGGGGCTCAGGTAGCTCTTTGAGAGGCTGATTTCATTTCCTTCAGATATATACACACAAGTGGGGCTGCTGGATCATATGGCAGTCCTATTTTTGATATTCTGAGGGAGCTCCATACCATGGATTTACTTTGCCTCCAACAATGCATGAGCGTTTCCTTTTCCCCACATCTTCATCAACACTTGTTATTGTTTGTCTTTTTGATAAAAGCCATTCTAACAGTTATAAGGTTATATTTTGTTGTGGTTTTTATTTACATTTCTTTGATTTAGGGTAAGCCCTTGACAGGTGGCTTTTCTTTTGATAATTCAAGTGCCCGACTTAAGCTTTGCTTGCCAAGACATCCGTGTCCAAGACAAAACACAGTCATCTCAATAAATACATTGCCAGGGGTGCCTGGGTGGCTCAGTCGGTTAAGCATCTGTCTTCGGCTCAGGTCATGATCCCAGGGTCCTGGAATTGAGCCCCGCATCGGGCTCACTACTGAGCCGGGAGCCTCCTTCTCCCTCTGCCTCTGCTCTCCGCCCTGCTTGTGCTCTCTCTCTCCTTCATTCTCTCTTTCAAATAAATAAATAAAACCTTAAAAAAAAAATACACTGCCAGCCACACAAGTAGATAAAGAGCCAGGCCGCCCCCAGCCTCTAGGTTCCATGCTCCAGGGTTCTCTGTTCTAGAGATCTTGGTTGATTTCAATAACTGACCATTTGGGCAACTTTTCTTTTATATTCCCATGCTTTAAATTCCTGCTCTTATATTTACTTATTCATTCATTCATTCATTTTAGTAATCTCCACACCCAATGTGGGGCTCAAACTCACAACCCAGAGATCAAGAGTCGCATGCTCTTCCAACTGAACCAGCCAGGTGTGCCCGTTTTTATGTTTTATTTATTTATTAAGATTTTATTTATTTATTTGACACACAGAGAGAGAGAGTGAGCACAAGCAGGGGCAGCAGCAGGCAGAGGGAGAGGGAAAAGCAGGCTCCCCACTGAGCAAGGAGCCTGACAGGAGACTCGATCTCAGGACCCCGGGATCATGACCTGAGCCGAAGGCAGACGCTTAACCGACTGAGCCACCCAAGTGCCCCTGCTTTTATGTTTTAAATTCACAATAAAAAGTGAGCCTGCAAAAGCCTTAGGCCCCCACCCTCCTCACCAATAAAAGCAGAACACCAGGCCTGGTATGCTCTCTCTCTCTCTCTACCTACAACCTTGCTGT